CGGGCAGCGGGAAGCCTTAAAAATGGGATCTCCAGCCTGGAGTTTGGAAATATTTCTGTTGTTGTAACTGTGGCCTCATTCGTTTTATATTTGCAGGTGTACGAGGGTCTCAAGCCATCTGACAAATTTGAGAAAACTTTGGATTACAGGTGAAATATCACGTGTTTAACATATTCTCAGCCATAACTGAGGATGAAATTTGATTTGTGACACGTCTCTGAACTCATCAGGTGGCCCGCTCGCTATGACCAGTGGTGGGAATGCAAGTTCATTGCAGAGGGAATCATCGACCAGGGAGGAGGCTTTCGGGACAGCCTGGCAGACATGTCGGAGGAGCTGTGCCCCAGCTCAGCCGAGTGCCCCATGCCTCTCCCGTTCTTCACCAGGACGTCCAACCAGGTAATGGCTCTCCATCACGGCCTGCATCCTGTCGCAGTCAGACTGGACCTCAGTGTCCTCACTCTTCTGGTGCTGTCCTTTTTTTTTGTCTGTCAGGGAGCCGTGGAAGCCAGGGATTACTACGTCCCCAACCCATCCTGTAAAGACTTCCATAAGTACGAGTGGATCGGTCAGCTCATGGGAGCGGCTCTCAGAGGGAAAGACTTCTTAGTGAGTAACATAGGATGTCTGGATCACCATATTTGATTGATTGTTTACACGGTTGGCTTGAACAGTGTAAACTCAGGCACTTCACTGAGCCAAGAGGCATTCAGGGACAACAAAAAGGTTTAGAGGTGACTTTTAAATGGTCGAACCATACTTTGAATAACTGGAAGATATCCGCTTTTCCAGTTAATTCTGAATGTGTTTACAGTATATGGATAACAAACAGCCTAAAAAACAGAGAGCAGTTGTTTAAGCTCCTACAGGTTCAAACTTTGACCATTTCAGGCTTTATTAAAGGTTTAATTGGGATTTATTTATTTTGGCATTCTGTACGCAAATGGTTGAAAACAGGATTAGTTGATTTCTAACAGAATTATAAATAAAAAGTTTTGATGTCAGAAACCTGTTTATATAACACTTTACACATGTCATTTTAAAAAAGCACAAAAAATAACTAAAGTTAAGACTTAACTGAACAAAAACACATTTCCATTCTTTCATTTTTACTTGATTATTATGAATAGATTAATAAATTATTAAACTGTTTTCATTCCAATTAAAACCCATTCTCCAGTTTCTAAATTGTTGTTAAACTTACCTGTTTCCAAAATGCCACCAGTTTAGGTAACAGGAGTTATGTATTTTCTGTCTCTTGTGTGTCCTCCTGCAGGTCCTGGCTCTGCCTGGGCTGGTGTGGAAGCAGCTAACTGGGGAGGCCACCAGCTGGAGCAAAGACTTCCCCGCAGTGGACTCTGTGCTGGTGAGGACATGAAAATCAGTCTTTCAGTCATTGGCTTTGCTGGGATCTGTCTTTAATAGTGTGACATTTTGCCTTTCACTTTCTCATTTCTTCATGATTGCAGTTGTATGGATTTCAAAAAGAAAACCCACCTGATTCTTTCCATCTGGCTTTTCTAAGTGATGATCTCATGTGTGTTCAGGTGAACTTGCTGGAGGCCATGGAGAACATGGACAAGGAGACCTTTGATTTCAGGTTTGGGGAGGAGTTGGTTTACACCACCCTGCTGACCGACGGTCAGATGGTGGAGCTCATTCCCGGCGGCAGTAACGTGGCAGTTTGCTACGAGGACCGCAGCGAGTTCATCCGCCTGGTGCAGAAGGCTCGACTGGAAGAGAGCCGGCAGCAGGTGGGGTCCGGGCTCCTGTCCCTGTGTTGCTGTGAAGCCAGACAGTCCTGCTTATGATTTTCTGTGCGTGCCGCAGATCGCAGCCATGCAGGCGGGGCTGCTGAAGGTGGTTCCTCAGGCCGTGTTGGACCTGCTCACCTGGCAGGAGGTGGAAAAGAAAGTGTGTGGGGACCCGGAGATCTCCGTGGAGGCTCTGAAGCGACTCAGTGAGTGTCCAATTACAAACTTGGATTCAGTCTATTGCTTCCTGTTTTTTTATTGTTGGCATGATTTCTTTATTTAATTCATCTTAATAAATGTGATTGAATCCTAAGTGCATTTCAAGGAATAATTGGATTGAATTGGACAGGTGCTGTAAGACATGTGTTGTTACTTTGCTCAGTATGAAGGAAGCTATTTAATTTAAGCAGAGATGATTATCCTCAGGAGTTTCTAATTAGATTTGAGCTATTTGGCATGGTGAATTTTTGTAGGTTTACCATTATTATTTTCAGCAGGTGCAAGCAAAAGATCATTAAGTGCTGATTTCAGAAAGGACTCTGGCAGTAATGTTTTGTTCTCCTCTCCAGCACGCTTTGAAGACCTGGAACAAAGTGATGTTAGAGTGCAGTATCTATGGGAGGCGCTGACTAACTTCACCAACGGTCCGTTCTCCAAAGCGTTAACTGTTGAACATGAAGATGATAATTCTGCTGTGTTTTAATGTCTGCGTGAAGAAAGTAGGTGTCACTTATCTGTAATTTTGTTTACAGAGGATCGCAGCAGGTTTCTGAGGTTTGTAACTGGTAGAAGTCGTCTTCCTGCACCAATCTATGTCTTCCCCGACAAACACGGGTGAGCACAAGTGCATCCAAATTAATTGATTATTAATAGTTAATATTACAGTGTTTACTATTTATAGTTTGTATAACAAACTATATTCTGTTACCTGTCCCCTCATTCAGCTTTGAAACAACTGATGCACTTCCACAGTCCTCCACATGTTCAAGCACCCTTTATCTACCCAACTATCCAAGGTATGGATGGCTGTGTTTTTTTATGCGTGGTTTGTTATTACATACCTATCGTGGCAGCCCGTTATGTTTCAATAAGTTTGTCACCTCAAACTTGACATTTCCTTGTGGTGAGAGACATTTTCCCTTTCACTCTTTTCCTGCTGCAGTGCGAAGGTCTGTGAGGAGAAGCTGCGCTACGCTGCGTACAATTGTGTGGCCATCGACACCGACATGAGCCCATGGGAAGAGTGATCCCCCTGATGCCTCGCTGAACACCGCTCAAACAAATCAAACTTAAACAGTGAAATCTTGCCAAGTTGATCACCATATCTTCACGACTGCCAATTAATAATAGCTGTATATAATAAAGAGCTATATTAAAACCCGAAAGTGACTGACATTTTTGTTCATAAATTGAATAATAAATTCTCAAGTGAATGTTATCAATTTATGCCTAATTATCTTTCAGTATTTAACATAAAAGTCATACTTAATGTGTTTGAATTATGAGAAAAAGTTATTATTATTATGAGAAAAAAATATCCAAATAAAACTTATTGATAGCTGTCTAAATCTTAAAACCTTTAATAAAAAGATACTGACTGTATTTTTCGTTTGAACTGTTTCATAATAATCATAACATAGAGACTGTAAATGAAGTGTCTATTTAATCAAACAAGATTTACATTTTCACTTTTGAGCAGACTTGCCACGTATAATACATATTCAAAACAAATTTGTATCAAATTGATGAAAGAAGTTAAGTACAATCTAATCACATACAGTTATTGAAGTGATCGTGTCTGGATGAAATCAAACGTAATTTTCTTTCAATTGTTTTCTTTTTAGTAAACCAAGGACATTTAGAAAGAAAAACTTCAGCGGCTATCAGGAAAACCTCGTTGAATTATGTTTTTGCTTTCTCGCGAGACTTCGTGTGCTCAAACATCCCCATGAGCCTTTGCGATTCCTCTTTCTAGCCGGCGCCTGAGAATGGGTACGTGTTTTCATGCTTGGCTCGGAGACAGAATCTTTGTCCATCTGGCGTTTTTATGAAGGAATATCCATAACTTGGTTTGCCACATTGAAGTTAATTGTTAATACGATAGATACAGCTTCATCTTTACTGTCTGGAGCGATGATATTTTGATTTAATCAAGTAATTTGCACGGGATGTCAGAAAGGGTCCAAGATGGCTGCTATGTGTAGCCCTGTAGTTAGCTCCTAATGCTGAAGTGTGAATGAAAAATGTTAACTTTTTGTGGGGTTGGGGATGTTTTAGTTGGCACAGGGACAGATCGTGCAATGTACCAACCACATACGAGTGTTTTCAAAAGGCTCTTTTAGAACATTGGTGGCTCTAAGTTGTCAGTGTTAGCATTAGTTAGCATGGCTACCGTGATCATGTCATGCCATCGCTGTAAAACGCATGGGGGGAAATTGTATCCAGTAAAACTCGTTCCTTTAGAGATTAAGGTAAATTTTAATTAATTTTATTATGAGGTATGAGTACTAGTCTGTAATCCGTTTCAGTAGTAATACCAGCATGCTGTTTTCTTAAGGATAGCTTTTCTGCTGCAAATGCTCAAAAATGATTCCTTGATTGTCAGTGTTATACTTGTATAATGTCAATGTGTGCAGATTTAGTTTAGACTTTAACTATTGTGTTGGAAAGGTTCAACACGTGACTAAATATTGCCATTTGGTCTGATTGTTTTTGCTTGAGTGATATGATGAAACTGTATTTGCGGAATCCGACTATGAAATGCGGACAACCATTACCTTGGAGAACTGATCACTCAAGCACAGAGTATTTTGCTCTGAATATCTTGTGTTTGGACCAGTGATCTAATCCTCCTTTTCATCCATGCAGGTATCTCAAGGGACAACTGGCATAAACGCCGCAAGACCGGCGGTAAACGCAAGCCCTACCACAAGAAGAGGAAGTATGAGCTCGGACGTCCTCCCGCAAACACAAAGGTGAGCGGGGACCTCTAGTTTGGCAGCATGATTTGTAAAAAGGTGTAATAGCGTGGGTGATGAAAACATGACCTTAGGTGGGTCTTTTTTTGAGCCGTTTTGGTTCAAATCTTAAGGCTTACCAATGTTAGGACTCGTCATAGTTACACTGACACGCTCCAGTACAAGACCTACTGATTTTTCTTTCCTTTCAGTTTAAGTTTCTCAGCACTGAAGTTGTTTTTGTGTTTTACAGATCGGGCCACGTCGTATCCACACGGTGAGGGTCCGTGGTGGTAACAAGAAGTACCGTGCTCTGAGGCTGGATGTTGGAAACTTCTCATGGGGCTCTGAGTGTAAGTGTTCCAGCAGCACCTCTAAGCTCTGATGCTTCTCCCGTCTTTCTATGAGGATAACTTTGTCCAGTTCTGCTACTGAATGCAAGTGACGATATCAGTGACTCTGAGAAAGTGTGTTAGATATTTAAAGAGCTGCTGTCTCGTGAACAGCAGGATTGTACTTGTTCTAAAATGCTTGACTTTGTATACTCAGGCTGCACACGCAAGACCAGGATCATCGATGTGGTCTACAACGCCTCCAACAACGAGCTGGTCAGGACCAAGACCCTGGTGAAGAACTGCATCGTCCTCATCGACAGCCTTCCCTTCAGGCAGTGGTATGAGGCCCACTACGCCACTCCTCTGGGTCGCAAGAAGGGAGCCAAACTGGTACGTGAAATTATTTTAGGCTGTTTAAAATTGGCAGAATTGGAATTGTAGCCATATCTGTAAAGATGTAGTTTTTTAAAATGCAGGCTTTTTTGTAGAACCTTTCAGAAGGCTGTTGTTTTGTGATGCTCAACTATTTCTACACATTTCTGCAGGTTTTTATGTTTATCTAAACTTTAAATGCATAGATATATTTTATACTTGTGCTTCTGAAGTATTAAGCTTTATGAAGTAATTGAGGTGAATTTTATTGGGTTATATTGAAAATGGCGAGCTACTATCTTGTCTTTCCATGACGATAATTTTGTCCAGTTCTGCTACTGAATGGAAGTGCTGATATCAGACACTCTGAGAAAGACTGCTGCTCTTTGCCTCGTGTATATTTCTCCATGTTTTACATGGTAATCTATAAGTATTTGAAATTGTTTAAAGTGTTTTTCCATTACCACTGCAGACCCCTGAGGAGGAAGAGGTCCTGAACAAGAAGAGGTCAAAAAAGACCCAGAAGAAGTACGACGATCGTAAAAAGACAGCCAAGATCAGCTCTCTCCTGGAGGAGCAGTTTCAGCAGGGAAAGCTGCTCGGTAAGTTTTGTGGCAGTGGCTCAGTCCCTAAGGCAGGAAGAGGTGACCTGCAAGATCACAGGAGTTACTAATGTATGTCTAAAACTAACTTTAAAAATCTGAAATGAAGAATGATGGTCAAATCCAGGCATAAGTCGATTCTTAGTTTGTTGAATGTTTCCAGAGGCTTTTTATTTTTGTTTAATCTACACCAGTAATTCATTGTAAAGAACACATCTGATTGTTGCCATGTCATCAGCCTTTTTATTTTTATTTTTATGTGGCTTATGATGAGCTCTGGACACAAGTTGCTTACTCTAAATGCAAGGTGTCCATCACCCATTTGTAATGGAATGGTGATACTTACTGTTGGCTGCATGCACACTTTGATAAAGCTCTTCATCTGATTGTTTTGGGGGTTTTTTTTCCTGCAGGTTGCATCGCCTCCAGACCCGGCCAGTGCGGCAGGGCAGATGGCTACATCCTGGAGGGGAAGGAGCTGGAGTTTTACCTGAGGAAGATCAAGGCCAAGAAAGGCAAATAGATGTACAGCTATTTGATACGTCAATAAAATCCAACTGTCCCAAAACCATCTGCTGTCACTCATTTATTGATCAGATAGGAAGTTAATGTCCCAGAGGAGCCTCTAACGGAGTGAAAAACATAACCATTTTAACTTTTGTACTGGGAATGAAGCAAACGGTGTCGCCTTAAGAAAGGGGTGACTGAGACTGAATCCAAGTAATGAAAGTTTAATGTTTTTGACTCGGTATCGGCACCCTTTGGTATTTAAAGAAGACTGACTGGAGTGTTTTCTGCTGAGTGCAGTTTTAATTTGTACAAGATGTTCCGAAGTTCAGAAAAATGTCCAGGACATGTGATTTAGGTTATTTACGTTGCAGTTTTTTAGAAAATTGATTTGTTTTCACGCCACTGTTGATGTAGAAACATAATGTAAGTGAATTTTCCAAACTTTTGGGCCTTCTTTAAAGTTGAGTCGGTCACTGAAGGTAAAACGTGTCCTCTGCTGGCAGCCTCGCTGCTCTACAGTCTGAATGAGTGTCCTCTGGGTGCCCTGGGCAATGTTGTACACACTTCAGCACCCCTCTGTAACAGATGGGTATACATCAGATAGCTGGATATATTTAATTAGATTCATGGCTTGTTCAGGAAAATATCATTTTACTTCCTGGAGTTGATTTAGTCTTTGACTAATCTTTGGTTGTTTGTGCCATTTTGTGAGACTTATCACTGAACCCATGACTAGATGAGAGGTCTTACAGTTTTTAAATAAATCCTATATGTGTGTTTGTATCTTTGTCTCTTTAAGTCTTAAAGTATCTTTTCTGTAATTTAGGCTTCTAGCAGTTATATTGTGTTCCAGGTTTGGCTGTCATCTCTCTTTCTCTGAATTATTTTTGTGTTGAAAGTACATTTAATCTTTTATGAGTATAATAGGCATCTTGTGTTATTTTTTCCCTGCAGACGTCTGTGTGTTGTTTTTCTAAATACAATTTCTCTGCTTCTGTCATTTGTAAAATTATATTTCTGTTGTGTGATAAGACGTCTTCCACGTCATTGGCTGTCAGTGTCTTCGGTATCCATCAGGTCCTAAAATTAAGTAAGGAATTACTGAAGTACTACGTGCAGATTGGATCAATTCAGGTATAGCTCAATCTGCTGTTGTGTTGTCTTATAAGCTATGAAAACACTTTGTTTTATTTTCCATAACGACAGGAGAGTCTATAAACAGCAGAGGTGAAGCGCGTTAGATAACCAAAACTGGGGGAAAAGTCAAAGTACCGAGGCCCAGTGATGTCACGTGATCCGTGCTGCTGTCTTGATTGGCTGAACGGAAGTTAATGTGGCTGTGGGTTAGAGGGAGCGACCAATTTGCTCTGTTTCGTGCTAAAGGTGCAACCACTTTCGTGACAATGATGCTCAAAAAGGTACGTTTCTTTACTCTAATTGTTACGTCCCGTTATTTTTTAAATAGATTTGGACTAATTAAAGATAGCAGTTATCCTCCTAGATTGGATTTAGGGGAATAATCGGTCAAAAAGCGAGGTTTTTGATGGTTACGTCACAGGCTAACAGCTAACAAAATGCTGCAACGTAAAAAAGAAAACAGTTGGTCGGAAATATACAACAATAAGTGACATAAACTTATTACCGTCGAGTATTGAAGTTGATGACGTAACATTTTTTTGGAGATATGTTCATACTTATTTATAAATATCAAACATATCGTTGATAAATCCAAGGACTGTGAAGGTCCAGTGAAACTATTTGTGTGTGAGAACAAGAATTCGGCACCTTATAACACTTCTAATGTCTTTAAGTCTACATCTGTGGAGTATTTAGCTGTCTGTGGTGTAGTTCAGAGGAAAACTATTTTACCATCATTTTGTATGTGTCTTTCCGAAAAGATTACGCAATGTTTTGATGCAAAGAGCCCGTCTCAAGTACATAATTCAAAATATTTTTTATGATATTTGTCTGAGACCGTCTATGGTGATAAAAACACAATGCATTTTTAACTTACTTATAAATGTATTATGAAATATCTAATAATTAATATGATCCTCATACACATTCAGTCTAAAGTTTGACACACTAAAGGAGATGATCCTTTTTAGAAAAAAAAAGCAATCATTTTGTATTGTCTGAGAAGTCCATATTAGTGAAATGGCTTTATACTTCTGTATATTTTTTGCACTCTGTTAGTCTTTATTAGTTATTAAACATCTTTAAAAATCCCAGGGATGTCTCGTTGGATTTCGTGAGACACCGCAAAACAATATCTTGATGGGAAAAGTTAGAAAGAAAGAAAGAAAAGTAGTTTTGCACAAATTCTGGATAACTATTGATTAATTGGTGTATGATTTCATATCTGACACCCAATGTTTTAATGCACCAGCAAGTTTTTATTGCCCTTTAAAGATACAGTGGCGTACTTATGGGAAAAGGTCTCCCTCTGCCCTAGGTGCTGTAATTTGAGATGTTCTGACAGCCATTTGCTAGCTACTAGCTAGTCCTTGCTGTGACATCTCAAACAGACACACTTACATTTTCTTCCTACCTACAACATAGCCTTTTCAGTAAAGTCACCATTTTTTTGTCTTTTCTGAGATAAAGCAAACCAGTTTTTCAGATTATGTTGCTCATGAGCCACAACAGGTTTGCTTTAATGATGTGTCGCATGGTAGATTGTAACTATTTATGCTGAATGTGCGACCCGCAGGTCTTCAGAGCCGGTCTGCAGTCGGGGATTCGTCTGCAGAGCACCAGCGCTGCTGCAGCCACAGCTGCTTCCAACAGCAATGCTGGATCCTTTGGCTTCTCTTTCGGTGTGTAGGATGCAGAACATGACTTTAAAGAGTGTGTTTGTATTCAATTATTTTTGATTGGCCATGATAAGCTTCTGGTTTGACCCACAGAGCTGACTGATCAGCAGAAGGAGTTTCAGCAGCTGGCCAGGAGGTTCGCACGTGAGGAGATGATCCCTGCTGTACCTGCATACGACAGAAGTGGTGATGTGAGTGTAGAAAAGAAATGTATTAAATTGGCCATTATCAAAACTGTTTTTGTATATTCTCATAAACATTTCAGTTATAAAGCATCTTGTCAAAAGACACAGTAGCCATGGCTCATTTTGATTGCTAAACTGGTATATTGGCCCAAAAAAAAGTTCACCTAGCTGGATTTAAAACACGAGTAGTGTGAAAGCTGATGCTTATTCATGTAGAATAAGCGTAAGCCTTTCTTTTTCTTTGTTTAAAACTCCTTGTATCTTTTTACAGTATCCATTCCCCATCATCAAGAAAGCCTGGGAGCTTGGCCTTGTGAATGGCCACATTCCTCAGGAATACGGTAAGTCTTTAAGCTTTTCTAAATATCGAAACAACACCTTAGTCTTCTTCCTGGAAATGTCTGTAATCACTCTGTCGTGTGGATTGTACAAACCAGCACTAGATCTGGTTTAAGTTTAACTCCCAACATATATGACCAGAGGGTTTCATTCTCACTTATGTATGAATACACAACTACGCATAAAGGTTAACATTACGCTCTTTTCATGGAATGTGTTACATAAAACAAAAAAATATGCAATTTTGTGGGTTGTGTGCAAATGTTTTGTTTTCATGTTAATTTTTAAAGCCTCTGTTTGAACCCTGTTTGGTTTGTGCTCAGGTGGAATGGGCTTGTCAATCTTTGACAGCTGCCTCATCACAGAGGAGCTGGCTTATGCCTGCACCGGGATGCAGACGGCAATGGAGGCAAACTCCCTGGGAGTAAGTTTGGTTATACTCACCTTAATGACCCGTTTCTGGTGGAGAAGTCAACCATTAGTGTCTTAATAGCCGATCAGTTAGTCGTCCAAACACCTGATCTAAAGCCTACGCCCAACCAGATGCTTTTTTTTTTTTCTTAGTAAAACGAAGCCTTCATTGTGCTGAATTGAATCAACATGAAGAAAGAAGATAGTTTTATATGAACTCACTTGAGCATGACCTTGTTTCTTGATGTCACACAGCAAATGCCTGTCATCATCGCGGGCAGTGATGCGCAGAAGAGGAAATATCTGGGGAGGATGACCGAGGAGCCTCTCATGTGTGTAAGTGTTGAGTATGTTCACTCAAGCTGGACTTAAAAGCTGGACTTAAGTACACCTAAATCTTTTTTTCAAATTCTCCTTGTTCCTGTGTGATTTAGTCTTTGAAGTTGTATATGCTGAGTTGCCATGGAAATTTAGATAGCGAGGTATCAAAGTTGCCAGTGGTGTGTGATGAGTTGGATAAGAGCTCATGTTCTCAGTTATGCTGCCAGCTTCCATGAAAAGAATCCATTTGAAAAATCAACTTGATTCACAAGTTATAGGAATATTTTGTTCAGTTTAACCATATATCATTATATAATTCTTTGTTTGTAAATAATTAGCTTACTTTGTACTTGGTCCCTTAACTTTGGGTTTTTATTTGACTTAAAAAAAACATAATTGAGTAACTCTTGAGAATGCAGTCGGTCTTCAGTTTACTTTTCCTTTGCTCCGTTTGTGAAAAGTGTGTCTGACTCTTGTTGTGTTTTGTTTTTGTCAGGCCTACTGCGTGACTGAGCCCGGGGCGGGCTCTGACGTGGCAGGAATCAAAACCCGAGCAGTGAAGATGGGTGACGAGTATGTTGTCAACGGGCAGAAGATGTGGATCACCAATGGAGGGAAAGCTAACTGGTGTGTGCTGCCTGCTGCTCACCTAATGGCGTTTTAAGGATTCACTGATAGCGTCTGCTTCAAGCAGACTCGAACCTTCTAAATGAAATATTTGTTCTCCGTACTTGGCTTCTAAAACATGTTTTATTTCATAGGTATTTCCTCCTCGCTCGCACCAACTCGGATCCCAAATGTTCAACTGGAAAGGCTTTTACTGGCTTCATTGTAGATGCTGACACCCCAGGAATTCAAGTAGGGAGGAAGGTAAGATTCATCATTGTTTTTTTTTGTTTTTGTTTTTAATTCCTTTTTAGTATAATCTTTACTATGATCCTGACGATGCACTTCTGTGTTGTCATTGACGCTAAGCGGAAACTGAGACTTGGGATGAAGTCGTCCACAGTGCATGTTAGGCCTGAGTGGTTTTATTAGTGTAAATTTTTTTTTTTTTTTTCACGCTAACTGTTTTATGTTTGCTTTGTGTGTGCAGGAGATGAACATGGGCCAGAGGTGCTCAGACACCAGAGGCATCACTTTTGAGGATGTGAGGATACCGAAGGAGAACGTCCTGATTGCAGAGGGAGCTGGTTTCAAAATTGCCATGGGTGCCTTTGACAACACCAGGCCACCGGTGAGTTGCTGCTTCTGTAAATGGTGCAGTTTCTCCCCTCATAGTCTGAGCGGTCCTCAGCGGCTCGCATCTACCCCAGTTCAACTGAAAATCACATTTAATTGGCTGTCCTCACTGTGAAAAGTAGTTTCACAGTGGCAGGCTGTGTCTTTGGCTCAGAGAACGGTGTGGACACAAGAACTAATGAGCTTCAAGGGATTTCTTGTATTGGTCACTCGTGACCAATCAAAGTTTACCTGGCTAATGGACCTGATGTAACCTAGGTGGCGGCAGGAGCTACCGGCCTGGCTCAGAGGGCCCTCGACGAAGCCACCCACTACGCCATGGAGAGGAAGACCTTTGGCAAAGCTATTGCTGAGGTTTGTAGTCACTGACATGTTAGATTAATCACGAGATTCTGTGAGTTGATCATCAGTTTTAGGTAAAATACAGTTCAGACTCGCTGTGGGTCATAACGCCCCTTTCCTTTGTTTTCTAGCACCAGGCTGTGTCCTTCCTCTTGGCTGAGATGGCGATGAAGGTGGAGCTGGCCAGGATGGCGTACCAGCGGTCTGCCTGGGAGGTGGATCAGGGCCGCAGAAACACCTACTATGCCTCCATTGCCAAGGCGTTTGCCGGAGACATCGCCAACCAGGTGGCCTCGGACGCCGTCCAGGTTTTCGGAGGCAACGGCTTCAACAGCGAATACCCAGTTGAGAAACTGATGAGAGATGCCAAAATCTACCAGGTGGGGCCAGAAAAAGCGGTGTATCTGATGACCGACAGCAGTGAGATTATGGGCGATCTCCGTTCTAATAACTTCCATTTCATTTGTAGATCTATGAAGGAACAGCTCAAATCCAGAGGCTCATTATCGCCAGAGAACACCTGGGAAGATACAAGAAGTGAATCCTGCTGCCTTGAATACCCTCAGTCACATGTACCTGTAGCTTTTTCTGTACATAACTTTCTGCTGTTTCTGTAATGAATCCAGTCTCAACTCAGGATGCATCTTAAACTGTTTGCCTTCACATGGTTTTATGCCAACACATCAGACCCTGAAAAGAGTGGCCTCCGTCTCATATCATGAGCGATATAGTAACTTGTTATTTCACAAGATATCACATGACCCGTCCAATGAGGTCATTTCCGTCCAGGTAAATGGGATTTTGGAATCTGAAGAAAAAGCTCTCTGCAGGTTGGAATAACGGGCAGAGAGAGATTAATTCAGACCTTATTAAAGATTAAACTAAAGTCATTTTCCATTAATCTAAAGCTTGGACCAGTGAGACTTGATAACAAAGCTCCCTGTGGGCATCGGGTGTGCACATGTGGGATGGAGACGCGAGGTCAGACTCACCTTCAAATGTTTTGCTTCTTGTCATCCTCTCTGCTCTGATCTGTTGTAAAATCAAGCAGCTCTCTTCATGCCTTATTATTTCTTTAACATCTGACTCTTGGTGAATGTTTAAAAGATCAAATTTGTAAAGTAGCTTTTCTAATGGAAACTCTTTCACCAGAATGAGACAAATTAAAGAGTGTAAAGTGCATGCAGCCTGAGGAGTCTTTGCTGCCTGAGTCTTCGGTTCTTTTTGTGGTTCTATGAATTCTCTGGCATCGGCTCACCCTTAACCTCTGCAGATATGTTCAGTGATGATGGATGTAATACTGTACGTAGGTGTTCATTTTTTATTATTTTTTGACACCACAGGGTTTTGGATATGTATGCCAATCTTTTAATAAATTATTCCTCTCAGATGTCTCAATTTTTTAAATTTTTTATATGGAAATAACTAATGATTAAAACAGACCGTTTGTTTTTCTTCCAAAAAAAACACTTTTGTTCAAGTGATATATGCTGTTGATAATTTAAGTGATTATTTTTTCTTCTACTAAACTGAATTTAAAGGTAATTCAGTCACTGCAGGAGAAAGTACTTTTAGTTCCTGTAGAACAAATTCCACACAGTGAAAATACACAGGGGGATTTTGAGTAAGCAAAGACAAAACTGCAACAATATTCAGCTTGGAATTTTTTTTAAAATATATGATATATAAAATAATATAATTTCATATATGTATTGCAATGGTTCAAATGTAACTGTTTATCTTGGTAATTCAGTGGAATTTAATCACAGTGTCAATACTTTGTTTAACATGTGAGATACTTCAAAAACAAAACAAAGTAGAGCAATCAAATACATTAACATATAAGACGGTAGTAGCAGTAATAACACACGTGCAAATATATCATAGGCATTTATGTAAAAATTACCTGATGATCTAAATTAAGTTTGTTGTTTTTTCTGAATAAATGTAAGGATGCATAAACTCCAACAACCAAAGTACTCCCTGAAGTAGATGTGCACTTGTATTTGAGTAAAGCCATTTGCACGCCCTGCAGGGCTTCCACCGAGGCAGAGGATGGCGGTAGATAGTTCAAAAGCTACTTCTGTAAATCAGTAGAAGAAGAAGAGGACAGTGGCTTGAACGTCCAAAATATGTCAGAATGGTAAACAGCGACTCTCTTTCCTTTTTTAACTTAATAGCGGTTTTAAAAAGATATAATAATAGAGGAAATATATATTCGTGCATCTGTACTGTGTCCAAATATACACTGACAGTAACTTTTGGTTTGTGACAGCAGCCACTGGAGAGGCTAAAGTGCAGCTAGCATCGACGTTAGCATGTAGCAGGTTGTCAAGTAGACGTTTAACATGCTTCATAGTCGTTTCGCTCCCTAAGACAAATTAAATCAGCGGCTGGATTTAAGCGTAGAGTACAGTTAAACCATTTTTTGTAATTTATGGTCTTTTAAAATGTTTTTTATATAATTTCTTTATTATCAGGGCACTCAAATAAAAGATGTCATCATCAAGCCTGACGCTCCCAGCAGTCTGCTGCTGGACAAACATGCAGACTACATCGCTGCCTACGGCTCCAAGAAGGACGACTACGTGAGTCATGAGTTTTGAGCTCAACTGTGTGTTTGAAATGGGGTTTCATCGTGCATAAAATGATATAGTGCCGGCTAACTGTCCTGAGATAAATCCCCATCTTCATTAAGGCTCTGCTTTCCTGTCTTCTGTCCCCATTTCAGTTCAAACTGCGCAAACATCTTCAGCAATCTCCAATTTCTTATAGAATAGTCAAGACAGCCATTTCAGTACATTTTCAGATATAAGTATACGTTGCAAGTCTGAGGTAAAAAGTTTGAGAGCAGTTTGCTGTGTGTTCAGGAGTACACGCTGTCGGAGTACCTGAGGATGAGCGGGATCTACTGGGGGCTGACGGTGATGGACCTGATGGACCAGCTGCACAGAATGAACCGACAGGAGATCGTAGACTTCATTAAATCCTGTCAGCACGAGTGTGGAGGCATCAGCGCCAGCATCGGGCACGACCCGCACCTTCTCTACACCCTCAGCGCAGTCCAGGTGAGTCTGGACAGAAGAAAAAAAACAAAGGACGGCAAAAATGACAATTATTTTAGCAGATTTGATTCATGATACCCTTTTTTAAATGAAAAAAAACAGCATCTCTATAAGCTTTTTTTATTTTTTATCAGTGTTTAAAACAGTGTGAAGCATTTTCACTGTGAGGAGAAATTAATTCTTCATTTAAATGATCTGAAACGCTGCTGTTTGCCGTGTTTTCTCTTTTAAAATCACATCTTCAGATCTTGTGCTTGTACGGCAGCGTGGACGAGATTGATGTGGACAAAGTTGTGGAATACGTCAAAGGGCTCCAGCAGGAGGACGGCTCATTTGCAGGAGACAAGTGGGGTGAGGGAGCTTTGCTGGGATCCATTTATGAACATGTGGACAAAAGATTTTGTCCACATGTTCATAAAAGAACTGAAGGGTGCCTTGGTGCCGTCTGTTTTTTTAGCTGTTTTTATCATCTTGTGATGTTTTTATTATCATATTGAAAATAAGTCCCCATGTGACGATCTTTCTCTCATAAAATTAATAAATGGTGTACATTAATGCATATTAAATTACTTTCAAGTATGATTGTTTTATAAATATTACAAGGAGTCATTTCTAATAATTTTTCTGTCTTTTCAGGAGAAATAGACACAAGGTTTTCTTTCTGTGCTGTTGCTACACTCTCATTACTGGTAAGGATATTTTTACAAATAAACTACATTAAACTTAGTTTTCCGCTGACAGTCTGATACAACAGTCCTGAAATAAGTCTTCCTCCATGAAGGCCAAACCTGTCGGTTACTGATGAAGCTGGCTCAGAGTGTATTTATGTAAAATTGTGCAAAAGGTCGTCATGTTTCAGTCGTTTGCCCAAACTGGGACAGTTTCTCCTCCCTGTGTCCAATCAACTGGTAACGGAAGCATTTGAATCTGCTCTTTTTCGAAGGGGAAGATGGACGCGATAAATGTCGACAAAGCTATAGAGTTCGTCCTGTCCTGTATGAACTTTGATGGAGGTTTCGGCTGCAGGCCTGGATCAGAGTCTCACGCTGGTCAGGTGAGTCCAGAGTTTGCCAAAGTTCAAAGGCCTGTTTAGACGTGCAGAGAAATACAGCACGTGTCAGGTGTTATTACACCTCTACAGGAAGTCTTCAGACACTTTTTCCTAAACAAAGAGGGAAGAACTTGATTTTTGTATAATGAGACAATAATTAATTTGTGCAGGTAAATTATTTAATTCATTTAAATCCTTTAAAAAGAATCAACGCTGTCTATTTGTGTCAGTGTAAACACTGACTGCCTGCCTCACAACAGGTAGGCAGACAGTAACCCCCACCCCCTCTCTCTCTCTCAGATTTACTGCTGCACCGGCTTCCTGTCGCTCACCGGCCAGCTGCACCAGCTGAACGCTGACCTGCTGGGCTGGTGGCTCTGCGAGAGGCAGCTGCCGTCCGGAGGCCTCAACGGGCGCCCCGAGAAGGTTTGTGCCCTCATTTTCTCGTTTTCTGCCTTTATGCTCTACAAAGCTAAAGGAGGTCATCAGTCCAGCTCATAGAAATGTCCCGGACGGATTGTGGTTCTTGAAGGCAAAGCCTCCGTCTGATTTTGCTTCTGCTTGGCCCTCGGCTGCTTTTTCAGTGGTTTTCAGTCCACTTCTTGTTTCTGACCATTGTGTTTGTTTTGTGTGTTTAAGCCACTTAAAAACATAAATGATGCAGGTTTAAAAATCTTGTTTAAAACTGTGTTGGTTGATTTAGGTGTTGATTTAGGTGTTTTTTGCCTGTTTTTGCCTGTTTGCTGTAACGTGGCTGCTCAGTAACAGATTAGTGTTAATAACCGGTGTTGTTGGTCTGGGACAGCTTAAGCTTTAAAAACAGCTGACCCCGCCTCTGTTGGTCCCTCAGCTTCCGGACGTGTGCTACTCCTGGTGGGTTCTGGCCTCGCTGAAAATCATCGGCCGGATCCACTGGATCGACAAAGCCAAGCTGCGAGGCTTTATTCTGGCCTGCCAGGACGAGGAGACGGGGGGGTTTGCCGACCGGCCGGGCGACATGGTGAGCTACTCTGACCTCCTCTGACTCCTCACGGCGCTGCTAACTACTGTCCGGCCCCCCCTGCAGGTGGACCCCTTCCACACCCTGTTCGGAGTGGCCGGCCTCTCCCTGCTGGGAGACGACCAGATCAAGGCGGTGAACCCCGTGCTGTGCATGCCCGAGGACGTCCTGCAGAGGATCGGCCTGCAGCCGGACCTCCTCAGCTAGCCTCTGACCCCCCCCCCCCCCACCCCCACATTCACCCGCCAGCCTCACACTAACCAACACAACTGAAAGGACCACAACTCAACGCTGCATTTGCTGGATCCCTAGCGACCTGGAGGATGGAGAGCCTCAGATTTAGGGTTCCCTCCTCCTCTGAGGTGGCTTTTCCCGCCTGGATCCGGCACACGGGACATTTTTACAGAAGGGTGCTTCGAATCGTCGCCGTCGTGAAAGCTGAATCGCCAGAAAAGCAACATTCCTTTACTTCTCATCTCGATCTGTGAGTCGGTTTGAGGGAAAACCTGTAGCTGAGAGCACACGTTCTGGACGTTTTTCCTGCTTTCATCACCTTCAGCTCGTCCACTCAAGTTGTTGATCCTTTCTAGTGTTTCTTAACCGGACGACAGGAGAATCTGTGGTTTTACCGTCACTCCAGAGTGAAAGAAAAGAAGGTTTACGGGCTCAGATGAATTCAGGAGGTGAATGTGCTACTCTTAAGATGTTTTTCCGCCTTAAACTCATTGGTTGTAAAGGCACGACGTCTACTTTATCTTCCAGCTGCTTTTTTTCATAGAGTAACCACTGTATAAGAAAGGTTAGAGCAGGGGAAGCCAGCAGAAAGCCGTCAGAGCTCTCTGCTAACGGCGCCACAGTTAGTTTTATGTCACAGCTCTAAAACCAGCTCAGCCAGCTGCTCGGAGGGCTTCAGCTATGCACACTCTGAGTGTCCCCGGCCACATTTTTACCTTATTTATTGAAGTCTGGTGGGCCTCTGCTGTGCATGAATCCCGGTGGAGAACCTCCTCTCACTGCTCACCGCTCTCAGCTCATTCTGTGAAATGATATTAAGAAAACACGGTCTGATTTGTAAAGCCACAGTTGTCAAGTTGTCTCTACTCTGTTGCCTAAATGTTCTGTCTCTTGTTGCAAAGCATCAATAAACCATGTCAAAGTTTTTGTTGTGAGGTCCTCAGAAATCTTCTTCTTCTTATTGCTGTCATGTTTAAAATGACTGCTTTCTGTTTAAGTGCCGTGAACACTTTAAGCACATATGGAAATATTTGCAGACTCAAGTGGTAGAAATTCCTGAATTATGGCAAAATGTGCCTTATAGTAACACCCATCCTGCCTATTCCAGCCCTTCTCCTTTCACCCCCTCATGAGTGTAAGCAGTCCATCACAGCTCACAGAGACGCTCTCACAGTAACACACTGTTTCCACATCAACGCCTGTGGCATCCTTTAACATCTAAAATGCATTTGTCCCAAAAGACACTCTGAACAACTTCAGTTTTTCTACTTGAGCCTGTAAAAAAACTTTGATTCTTTTTTGGGTGAATGTAACCATCTAAAGGCCCGAATTCTGGCTAACTACACCCCTTACCTGAAAGACTAATAAAACAGTCTTTAAGCGATTACCAACCAGAAGCCAGATAACTAGATTAATCAAAGTAAAAATAAATAAATGGATCAAATTTTATATATATCATTTTTTAAATTAATTTCTTTTTAATATATAATTTTTTTCCTTTTCATGTTTTATTTTTTTTACTTTATGTTTTTATTTATATATATATATATATTGTTTAATTTTCAATTTTTTAAAAAACATTTTTTTCTTTATTTTTTCTTTTTCTTTATTATTTTTTTGTGGTATTGAGTGTATTTTTTCTTTGTTATGTAATTTTTATTTTGATGGGTCATATTATGAAGTTTGGGGTTTTTTCTTCCATTCTACAGTTGCCAATCGAAGTTGAAGCTGATTCAGTACCACTAGATGGCAGCCTTATCATTTAAAATTATTTCATCATATTTTGTCATACTTTCATCAGGTGAGATCATGTGAGAAATGTCTTTTCTGTCATGAATAGCTGGTTTTTAAAAAAACAAGAAAAAGAAATGGCAGGTTTATGCTCTGTGTTGGATTTCTATAGGTGCAACACTCACTCATGCAGCTTAATAGAACTTTCAACATCTTAATATTAACCATATTTACTCTTAGTTACATTAATTGAAGCACATTTCTAATGTGGTACAGTATTTTTAAAGCCTAGATTTACAAAGTCCAGTGCAAAAAAAATGTTGTGCAGAGGGTTCTGGATGATGAAATCTACAGTGTCCAGTCGCTCAGTTTTATTATTAATATAGCTGCGCTGTGTAAAATATGCATGTTTGCATAAAGCATAAAGCATGCTCTGGGTCTGAGTCCAATACTCCTGTAAGATATTTATACATCAAAGAAAAAGTCCCAATTGTTTATATCTTTAAGAGGATAAAGCTGATATTCAAAAGGCATAATTTCATTGTAGTGGATGTATAAAGTGATTTTAAATACGTTATGAAAGTAAAGACTATAAGATGTGAGAAACGTACAGAAAGAATCAGATCAGAGAAACACAAGATATGAGATGTTGTGTTGAACTATCAGTTAAATTGTGTTGTGTTTGCTGTCATGTGACTTTTCCTGGGTCTGCTGGGCTGGGATCTGTCTTTTCCTCCAGCATCGGCAGCGGTCCCGTGACCTTTGACCCGCCTCGTTTGAAGCGGTTCTGTCAGAATCCGGCCGCTTCTGTCTGTGGACAGACGTGGATCCTCTCTTATCTAAACTGCCCGTCGTTAAGAGCCAGAATGGATGAAGCTGCAGACGCGGGATGCTCCACGCCTGGGTAATTAGAGGCGGGTAACTCTCCCCCACCTGCTTCCCTCCACGTAACCAAGATAAGGGCTGCCCCTGTGGTGTTGCCCAGATAGGGAAATGACACTTTACCTGGAACCATTTCAAACAGCGGCTTTCATAAAACGCCCGACAAACGATGAGCAGATAGCAGAACACTATCATCTCCACTCCTTAATTACTGCGCGGGCCTCGTGGAATGGGTTGATATCCTGATGCACCGCCGGGGCTCTGCTTTGGAAACCTGAGACCGTATTCAGGCTCTCGCTCACATTTTAGGTTTTTCTTAGTTGTCATTTTGTGATTTTCGGTTATTTCTTTCCTTCTTTGCAGCTGTTTTATTAGTGGATTTTATGTCTCTTTCTGGTTCTGATCCGTTTGGCTGCAGCAGTCTTAGTTTTGGGATCTTTTGTAATTGTCTTGTTAATTCTATTTTGTCTCTTTGTGGTTTCTTTGCTTATTTGTTCAGTCTGTTTTACATCCTTTAGGCTGGTTTCTGATTATCATCCCCCTCTACTCTGTGTCATTTTATTATGTTTTGATGATCGAATTCCCCCCCATTTGAGTTGGTTTGTCCTTATTCGTTCTTGTTTATAAGTTTAGTTTTGTGTCTGGTTTGTTTGCAGGTTTTGAATGAGTTTTTTTCTGGCTTCAGTTTGAAGTTATGAACTATTTTTTTATCGTTGTTTTCATTTATTTGGTTGCTTCGTGTTCATTTATATATATATATATATATATATATATATATTTTTTTTTTTACTGTTTCTTCTTGGTTGTTTTCTGTCTTGAGGCAGTTGTTTTGTCTTTTAGTGCTTTTTTTGGGGTATTTTTTTGCATTTCGTTGCAGTTGTTATGTATCACACTCCATTTGTTCGGCCTTTCTTTGTAGATGTTACATTTATGTTGGGTTTTGTTGTCTGGCCTCTTTGTAGCCGTGTTGCATGTTTTATGGTTCCTCCTCTTTCAACTTGCTTCGTGTCTTTTTGTTGCTGTTCTGTCTTCATTCTAACAAAATTATGTCTTTGTTTTTAATTCCTGTCTTCCGGTGTTACTGGTGTCAGTTTGTTTTGGCCTTTGTTGTTGCTTGGTGCCTCCTTTGTGTAACGTAGTCATTTCGGATTAAAATAATAAGAAATCAAATGAGCTTTGCGTGTGTTTTTTTGTCTGACCGGGTCAGTTCTCAGCCGGCCTGCTCAGTATTCCATCCGAGACACAAAGACGCTGGCTCCCTTTTGTTTCTTTTGGAGCTCCTGTGCTCAGCAGCCGCCTCCACTTCGGTTTCAGCCACATGCATTTTTCATTATGACAGTTTCCCCGTGCAGAAAGTAAACGGGCAGTCCAGAGAGTTTTTTCCGGGTTTGTGTATTAATTTAGTACACGGGGAAAGGTAACCTTTGGGCTGAGAAAAATACGTTTGGTTATTAAGCTGCTGAGAAACCCCATCGGCGCTCATTAGTGAGGAACGGGCGGATGAAAAACAGGAAAAAAGGTGGATGAAGGAAGAGAGACAAGCGTGAGGGAAGAGGCAGAGAGACAGATGGACGGAGAACAGCGTTCGCCTCTCAGTCTTGTTTGTTTGCAATTAAAGCAGCGGCTCAGTCTCTCCCCTCTCCTCTCTGAACCTGGAACCAACCTGTTATCTCTCAGAGCAAAACACGGAGGTTCCGTCCAGGAGACGCTGTCCATCCACGGGCACAGCGGCCGCTCCACTGAAGGCCTAATTAAACCACAGCAGAGATGAATTGGGATTATACAAGGAAAAATGGAGATTTGTGTTGAACTCGTCACCCGGTTTGTGTTTATCAGTATTCTGCTGTTATCAATCAGATGTTTTCATTCAGTTCTGCGCTGAATGTTAGTCAATTACTAATAAGAATATGAGTTTTTTACCTATCAAATATAAATTAGCTGCTGCGAATAAAGCTACTTATGGGAAAGTTTTGGCAAAAAAAAAGAAAAAAGCGAGTGTCCAAGCTGTCTGAAAATGATGAACCAAACAGAATTTTACACAGAGAGTTCACTGTGATTTAGAGCATTAGATAATATGTGGGTTAGGAGCTGGGTGATGACACCCCCCCCCCCCTCTGGCCTTCATGTGACTCGTAGTGTGTCGGGCCCAGCAGAAGGATGCGCTGCTGTTGTCGTTTCTGGAGGAAAATCACCGCGCTTCCAAAAACCCAAATGAAAGTCGGAGCATCTGCGTGAAAAGCTGAGTCACCCGCCGCGCTGCGGAGCCTCGTCTGCGCCACTTAAAGATGTAAATGTGGGATCAACATTCCCTCGCTGGCACATTAATCAGTTCCCATAAAAACGTACCACGCTGTGATAAAAAAACAAAGCCGGCTCTAATAAAAATGTTGAATTGCTCTTCAGATCTTTATTTAAGGTTGTGCTTGGTGTTCCTGGGCATAGAAACCTGCCTTAACTCTCTTACCTGTGTTCCAGAAACTGAACACGCCAGTCAAAGAGGAAACAACAAAATGTTACGATTACAGAAAAAGCCAACGCACAAACATCTAAAGAGAAATCATCCTTCTGAAAGCAGATTAAATACTGAGATTGATGGTCGGACTCAGTTCCGCTGAGTCACATTTTCATGTGTTTTTGTCTCTCTACTGGCCAGAAAAGGCAAAAGCCCTGAATAACAATTTGGATGATTGTTGATGATTAATTCACCTCAATTGTCTCTTAATAGTTCCCCTGTTTTGGCTCAAAAACAAGCTCTGGAGCATCTTTCTCCCTCTGCTCTGTTCTCTGGGTGTTCAGTTCAGCCTGAGTGGACCTGATGGGAGAGGACACTTTGTCAATAAGCAGTTTAGGGGAAATAACCGTCGTGACAACTTGAGGAAACTGTCTTAAGGGAACTTCCAACAAAACACCTTAGTCTCAATCGTCTTCTGTGCTTTGTCCTGTTTAAAGCTGGAAAAAATATGATGATGAATTGACACATTCAATTAAAAGATGCCCATTTAATAATGTTGTTTTGACGCCAGTGAGTTATTGTGTTCCACAATCATGAACATAGTCTTTAGCTAATTGGTCATATATTAGATTTCTGCTACAATCAGTGAGGCACATCTGTCATTAATCGGTAAATCTAGCAAAATCAATACAATAATCAATAAGAACACACACATATTGTGATTATGTCTGTCCATCCTAATCATTATAATGTATCATAGTCATTTATCTTACAAAAACTCCAACAACAGAAAGAGCTGCACTTAAATAGTTATAATGTAATACTCATGTTGTTTTAGACTTTATGGTGTCTGAACTGGACCACAGTGGT